AGATGGATGGTTATAAATTCTGAATGCCTTTGGATTGCTGCAGCTTACTGAGTTTACCTCCTGGCTTCCACTTCTTGTAATCAATCAAATATCTTCTAAAAATGCAACACTGGGAAAGCTTGACATTGGTCACACAAACATTTCTGAGTTCTTAGTTCTTTCTGTTTTGATGAGAAAGTCTTTACCCAGGGATAATGGAGATGATATAAATCTTAAGACCGGTTCATGTGTCATCAAATAAAAATGGACCGTGTAATAAGCCCAGTTTGTGTTTTCAATGCTCAAACATTGTAAATAAATTATGTTTGGAGGTGCCAAGTGTAAACTGAGATTATTCATTCATAAATCCAAAGGCTAGGCTATGCTGTTCAGAACTGCAAGGACACAAACACACTTTGGGTACTTGGAAGGATACATTGTTCTAAATCCTTGCTGCAGCAGCTTTGCCATAGGGCTGGAACTGTACTTTCTCTTTCCCTCTATCCTTGAATTTCTGTACCGTCTTGCAGAGCAAATCATTTACAAACTGTAGACATTATGATCACTTGCTCCATATTTGTTGCACAGTGTATAGGGACACTGTGTAACCCCCTCCTAAAACTTGTAATGTATTCTTACTTTAAAAAATATATAGCCCAAATTTATCTTAAATATAAAAATTCTTAATTCCTACCACCAGACAATTAAGAGATTATGATCCATGTGGACAGTTAAAATATGGTATATATTAGTCAGTCTGCATGGTAGAAATAAACAAGTTCTGATTTTTAAAAGGGATTCTTATTAGAATTGGGTGATCTGGAAGAAGAAGCCTGAATCAGTTGTGTAAGTGAGGATGAAAACTAATTCCAAATCAGGATGGATGCTTCCTGAAACTTGGCAGGACCAACAATTGAAAGAAACATTTCCAAACTCAGTTTTGGATAGAAACAATTCAGATGCTCATTCATTGCTGTTTCTCATGTGAAAGCAGACGAATTAACAAAGAATTTTGATGCCAGATGATTGAAGGAAAAAGAATGCAATTTTCACGTCTCCCTTTCTTTGACAAGTTTTCAGCAATGTGTCAGCATGTGCTGTTTTAATTTATCTGTTTTGATTTTCTGTGTTTTTCCTTTGGAACAACTGATCGGGGAGGCAGAAAGGGGTTAAGTATTTTTAGCAACAGTTTATTAATTCAGAGTATGACACAATTGTGTCACTGCACTGTAAAATTTTGTCTACTGTGGTAAAACCCATCTTATTTCAGTGTGGAATGAAGTGCCTGTCTGTTTTCATTTATGATTACTGACATTTAAATAATTACTCAGTTAAGTTCTCAATCTCAGAATCACTTTTCATTGAATACAGATGGTTTCTTCTTCAGTCATATTACTATGTTTTTTTCTCTAGCATTTAATATTTAAAATAAAATTTTACTCACTTTAGTCCAAAGTACTTAGGGCAGGATAGCAACATTCTACTGGTCTTTATATCTGTCTGTCCATCTATCCGTCCATCTATTTATCTGTTTTTATGCACAAGGGGCATGGAGCAGTTTGTGTTATCTCAATAGCAGTTCTGCAGCACTGATGGAATATTTGAGTGATGTGCAGCTGCATGTTTATCATAACTGCTGTTAATGCCAGTCATCAGCTAGCAGTGGTCTGGCAAGCACTTTTAGTCTGATTGTTAGTCTGATTTTTGTATTCTCTATGGAATTGGTTACCCATGCCTTTCATGGCAAAATAGTTCAACTTGTACACACACACACACACACACACACAAAATTCAACTGTAATAAAGAGATAGCTGATATGAATTTGTAAATAGAATTTGATTGAAGAATACTACTAACATAATACTGAGTCATCTAAGTCAAAACACATTCTTGAAAGAATAGAAAAGTGTGTGTTAAAGTGAAACGACCAGGATTGTCTTCAGTCAATTTTGTTTCCTTTAACGCTGGTGGCTCTGACATGAACTGTGTCTGCAAAAAAGAAGACAAAGTGATTAATTTCACTTTGGTGGGAGCACCTAGTGCTAAACAGTGCTTAATTATGATAGTACTATGGGCTGACTTTTCCCCATTATTGGCTGAACAGGAGGAGCCATAGCCAGGCTTGGCAAATGTATGTCCTGGTTGTGTGTCAGGCTGAGTACTTACCCTTCACAGTTGAATCACTGGTAAGAGGCTTCACGTCCCGTTTCCCTTTCCCATCCCTTATTAGGAGACTCCTGTTGGGGGATTTGGTTTAGATGATGTGGGAAATGCTTTGCAGTACTGCCATTCAAATGCCAGGCCCTTCAAAAGTGCAGAAAGCACTGAGGGCAAATAACAGGCTTGTGGACTTCTTAAAAAAGAATCCCACTCAGTTCATGTGTATGGAGAAGAATGTAAGGAGAAGAAACACCTGCATTTGTATTTGGTTATTACCACCTGTATGTAAAACAAATTATGGTATACTGATCCAGTTCCAGCTGTTCTGGAAATTTAATTCTGAAAGTACCACAAATTTCACCTGTATCCTACACTTCTGCAAATGAGGAAATAGTTGTTTTCTCCTCCCAAGGACTTCCAAACAACATATCCAGCAAGAGCATAGTGCCATTACAGTAACACTGATGGGATGCAGAACCAGACAAGGAGAGCTGCTGTCTGCACTGGAGATTCATGTCTTTAATTAGACTCTTGAAAGCACAGCCAATAAAGGAATACACATGTTAAAAATGGATATTTGTTACACCTTAGTTTATACAGTGAGACTAACATCAGATTAAAGCATTAACTGTTAAACCACTTCCAGCAAACCAAATTTTAAGCATTTATCCATATATCCATATTTGTCCATCTTCTGAAAGACATGCTTCTACAGAAAACCTGCAGTCCACTTACAGCCAACATAAAATTCTACAAATTCTAAGAAAATTATTGCATTTGTTGTTTGCTGAGGGCAATGTCTTGACAAGCTAGCTTTTCAGAGCTGCCTCTTCCAAAGCCATGCCTTTAGACAGGTTGCACTATAAATCTAATGGAAAAGTTTTACTACAGTGATATCATTTGCAGTAACTTTATTCAATTGAACATGATCTGGTTGAGAGTTAAACAGTCATTCAAATAGATCATAATCACCATCCATTAGGTTCCTTTAGTAAGCAGACACATGGCTTTCCTCGTGTAGTACGAGTTTTCATACACCTTCCAGATTTGAAGGCATAAGTTAAAGTTTTAGTATTTAAACTGGAGTTTAAGAAGTGGGAACATACATGTTCAGAAAAAAAATTAGGGTGCCGTAGTAAGTAATGATAAGCTTCTAATTCTAGTGAATGGGACACTTTTAAGTAGACCTAGAGTTTCTTTGCAAAAGTCTCTGAAACACGATTACTTCAGTACTACAATATCAATTCTAGTATTCTGATCTGAAATCATATGAATAATGCTAAATGCCATTCTATCAGGAGAAGGTTGATTAAGGAATTTTGCATTTATTAGTTTTTCATGTATAAAATATACTTTTGTATGCAACTTATGTGAATTTACAAGAATGACAGTATCTGGCTATAGGACTAGGCGAAATGGCCTCAAGTTGTGCCAAGGAAGATTCAGGTTGGATGTTAGGAAATACTTCTTCTCTGAAAGAGTGGTCAGGCTCTGGAATGAGTTGCCAGGGAGGTGGTGGAGTCACTGATCCTGGAGGAGTTCAAGAAACGTTTAGATGTTGCACTAAGGGACATGGTTTAGTGTGAAATACTGGTGATATGTGGATGGTTTGACTGGATGATCTTAGAGATCTTTTCCAACCTTGGTGATTCTATGATTCTATCCTAGTATAATAGTGCATGTTAGTGCATGACTCCAGATTTTTCTTGAACACCATAACAACTCTTGATTCTGTAAATAGATGTGCACATACTTCAGTTGAGATACACAAGCATAACTTTCAGTCTGACTACTTAGCAGCTGAAAGATTAGAATGAAAAAATAAAGAAGTCAATCATCTGCTCTTCCCCATTCATGTAAAGAAAACAAACGACAGCCTCTTCAAGTCAGTGGGTGGTCTGTCACCCTTCTCAAAAAGACTGATATTTTTGCTGTGTTTTGTCAGAAAGCCTAATATTTTAGGTGACTGTGCTTCCAGTGGGAATCTCAGTTTGCAACTACATGCGAGCCAAATTGTATTTCCTACTAAGTGGAAGTAATAATACAAACCAGAGAGGGAGACAGAGAAGGAAATGATGATTTTACGAAACTCAAAAGCAAGAAGCACTGCATGTCTCAAAAAAGTAAAACATCCCAATACTGTTTTGCATTATAAATCAAATAACTTATCCAATTTCAATCCTTGATTGTATGCAGCTTGTTGACATTTTTCCTCTGTAGCTGAAAACAGATTTCGGTTAAAGACATGAAAGACGTATTTCAGAGATGCCTAGCAAGATTAGAATTAGGTATTTCAAAATACCATGGGCAGGCAGAGTCTTAAGTCCCATTGATTTCCAGAGGGAGGTGGAAGAAGCAGTGGTCTGCTCAAAAGTACCTTGAAGGTGGGGAGACCAATATCCCTCCAGTAGAAAGGACTCCTCAATCCAAAGATGCTGTAAAGCATCCCCTAGCTTACATCTTGTCTCACGCACTGACAGTAGTAGGAGCTCAGGAGTTTTTTGCAAATACTCTCTTTAGCTTGCTAAAGGCTTTAAGGTGTTTAAATTAGAACAGCAGAACAGCAGGTGTGGCTGTTTGCAGATAAACCAAGTGAGGGTGAGGCACTGTTGAAAAGTACTTTTAAAGAAAAGAATATCATTGACATGACACTTGTAAAACGCTTATATAAAGGCCGTAGTACTTCTATGAGTGGCATTAAAGAAAATGCTTTAGGCACTGCTACGATGTTTTGTACAATGTCTGTACCAAGCAGGTTTGTTCCCAAACCTTCTTCCTGTGCTCTGTTTTCAATTGAATCTATGAAGCAAAACAAGAATGTGACATCTGTTACCAATGGGACATTAACTGTATTTTTCAGGACTACAAGTAGAGGGCCTCTTCAGAAGGTCAGCCAGCATCCAGACTATCAAAGATGTTCAGAAGCTCTACAACCAGGGTAAGCTGCCATTATAAAAATTGCCACAGGTTACTAACAGTGTGAGGGCTTTATTGATCTTGTCTCAAACAATGAAGCAGAGATGTTAGGTATTTTTTTAATAATTAGTTAATCATAAAGTCATTTATAATCTAAAATACAATAAGAACGCTAGTACAGGAGCTCAAAAGATAGCTTAAAGCTTACTGAATAGTGAGTCATTAACTGATGTCAGAGTTTTCAAAAACTGTAGCAACTGAAGAATGTTGAGGTTTGAGTAAAAAATGGTCTGGTTTCTCAGACACTCATATTACCTTTGTGCAGTTTGAGTCACTGCAGTTAGTTAAAAATGCCAAGTATAGTGCCTTCATGTCATTTTGCCCCTGGTATTCTTCCGTGGCTATGGCAAAGGAGTACAATTTTACATAATAATTTATGAAATGTAATGAAGTCATTTTGAAAGTCAGTGACTTCTCCATGAAGTAATTTTATGGTATGCATTTAAGGAGAGGATCACTTACAGCAAGATTAATAAAGCCTTGAAAAATATGAAGAGAAAACTGTAGGAGTTACCAGCTTCTGGAAAGCCAGTGAGTTATCTAATCATGGTGTGAAACAGTTTTTGTACAGTAGTTCAGAGAATAAGTAAAACATCTGATTGAACACACTTCTTTTTTTCTTCCTTTTAGGCAAGCCTGTAAATTTTGATGACTATCATGATATCCATGTTCCTGCTGTTATCCTAAAGACCTTCCTTAGGGAACTTCCTCAGCCATTGCTAACCTTCGAGTGTTATGATCCTATTGTTGGAATTACCAGTGAGTATTAATCCAGTTTTAGGAAAATTCATACAGCTAACTAAACTGAACCTTGCTAATTCACTGCTGCTTGCTAACCACGGCTCAATTGGGGGTATGTAACTGTATTAGTGCCTTCACTGCAGCTATTAATGGATAGTGACATAATCTGTACTATTACAAGGTGGGATTCCACCCAGAAGAGGTGGATAAAGTACCTTGTCAAGGAGTTTGAAACATGGGAGTCAGAATCTCTGCTGTTTTGCTGAGTATCATGAAGGCTCAGAAAACTGACATGTAGCTCCATACTGGATATACAAGGCACCTAGCACCTTCACTGTTCTTTTCTGGGGTTTGGCTTAACCTTCAGTACAAAAGTACAAACACATATTTTTAGAGAATGTTTTTGTAGATGTTACAGACTCTATTGTAATTATGGTAAATAAGTTGTTATCTTCTCTATCATTCTTCTTGTATTCCCTGTATTTACACTGCCTGATACCCTGATACCAATTTTTAATCTCAGTGTTTTTTCGCTCTGCGCATTCGGAGGAATGTAAGAAGAAATAGCCCTGTGACTAGAAGAGCTAATAAAGCCTGGATTCCCATGGATTCCATCTCAAACATGAGCTTTCTTTTGTCTTCTCTAATGCCCAGAGAGAACTGATACCACAGTGCAGCATTTTTTCATGGTCGGAGCATCTTTATGACCTGCCCTCTCTACTCAGTTACCTAATTCCACAAAATGCATGGGCATATAAAAGACATTGACCTACCCCTCTCTCAAATCTGATCTAATTGTCCCAACAGTTTAAATGTTGGCGGCTACCAGCAGATGGATGACAGCACAATATCAGAAATCTATCCTCTATAGAAAAGCAACTTGAAAAATCAGTCCTTTGGACACTGTTCTCCTCTCTTTTTTTTTCAATCAATTTTCCCTGCTGGCAGTATGGGGAGAATAACAATCTGCTTTTGCACACACACCAAAAAAGTTCCAATTTTGAAATTACTTTTCTTACAGCTTTCATCGAGCAGAGCTGTGAACCCTGCAGTAAATTGGAAAGATGTTTTTTTCCGAAGCACAAGTTGCTCAAACAAGAAATGTCCAAAATTTTTATGAATATTTTTGCCATTTTGGATGCTACTTTGTCACACAGTACTTACAAATGAAACAAACAAACAAACAAACAAAACCAAAACATACGCAGTGATTAGAAGTTTGGTAACTATCTGCAAGAATTAAAAGATGACCTAATGCCTTCTGTAGTTGGGACCCCCAACCTCTTCTATCAAATACAGCTGAAATTACCCTGAAGGCTAAGGAGTTACGGTAGGCAAAATCAGATGCATTCACACCTATGAAGTAAAATTCATCTATCTACAGAGTAACTATCTCAGCATGTTAAAAAAAAATAAAATAAGTCTCTTCACAGGTTGGTTGTAGAAATTGAGGGAATAAGGATAGTCATTCAGAACAGTGTAAAGAATAGATGAAGAAAGGGATGGGGGAATGGTAATTTTTATTGAGTTAATCTTCCGTCTTTCTGTACAGTAAGTTACTTTTTGCAAGAGCTAATTAAAAAAAAGAAAACATCTGAAAAGAACCTGAAAGCAATGCATTACCCTAATGCTGAGGTTTTTTGCACAGGAAAACATCTATGAAGCTTTCAATCCATGCTATTTTTATCAGAGTTTTAAATGTTGGCAAAGTTTGTTTTTGAAAGATGCAGTTAAAGAGAATTTCTCCTTGGGCTTTTTTGTTACTCGGTGTGATGTCCACTGTTGTTTCTTGATACTATGGTGACATCCTACTTTTTAAAGATGCTAAGCCTGAGAGCCATTCTGGGCTGCAGCAAAGTTATATTCTCTGTGAATACAGTGCAGAAGGGAGCTCTGAAGAGGTGTGAATGCAGACAGCTGTCTTGGAATGATTTGAAAATTCTCATTCTGGCTTCTGGAAAGCACTGTGTGATTTATCTATTATATCTCTTAACCCACAAACCCAGAAATACACTATCACTGCTTTACAATACTTTGAAATTATAGTGAAGCTTTTCTCCTTAGCGTCTCACTTGAAACATTCTTACAGGAGTTATTGACAGGAGCTGGGAAATAAATGAGCCGAGTGACTGACCAAAAAAAAAAAAGGGAATTGAAACTTTAAGCTTGTAGTTTTCAAAGAACTTCTTACAGGGCTGTGAATGCTGCTAACGAGTTCCTTTGCCCTGTATTGGTACACTTTCTGAATTATTTACCCTGCAGAAGGCTGACAGAAAAATTCTTGTGACTCACATTTTTTGTCTTACTGGAACTGATAGCTCTGCAGTAGTAAAAATATCAACGCAGCTCAACTGGGCATAGCTTCATGTATTTAAATCACAGCTTAAGGGAACTTCTAACATGCTGGAGTTTTGTGCCTGCAGATATGCTTATATGAATCTCTAGCTACGTCAGGGAGAGAGAGAAAAATGGAGCAAATGGAGAAAAAAACATTAGCACAAATGAGCTGGTTAGGTCAGATATGACTGTAATCATGAGTACTTTTTCCAGCTAGGTGTTAAACTTCCAGTACTGAATTTATTAAAATATTCCAGCAAAAATAATAGTAATAAAATCATTTGGAACAATGTTCAAAATGTATTCCAGTGCTAGCATATTCTTAATCAGATTGTCTCACTGAGTCTGGGGTCTGGTTCCAGTTCTGCCCATCTGTAGAAATGTGTTAATGAATCTGATTTGGCTCATCTCTAGAAAATTCTTACTCACCCAAATGTCCATCTCGTAAATCTTTGTCCAAGAAAGAAGTTTCCAGCCAAATCACAGAAGTGTGTTTGGAGTTAGTGGAGTGCCAAAAAAGAGCTTTGCAGCACCGAGTCTCAGCTAGAATAAAATCAAGGTATAAAAAGTAGACATCTGGATACAATGTGTGAAGAGATAATGGATTCAAAACAAGACCTTGGCTACTTCACTGAGTGGGGAAAATATTCTTAGCCATATATATGAAAATACTAAATAGGATAGGCTTATCCTAAGAGGCAGCCCAACCTACTGTCATGGGGATAGACATTAATAAAGGTGATTTTTGTGGCCAGCTCTACAGACAGATAGCTGAAGTAATTCCAGGTGATATAAAAAAGGTGTCATTTCTTGGTAATACATTGATGCTTCTGGGTTAATTTAAGACTGACTTTGATATTGCAGGTGTGGAGAGCTGTTTACGAGTAACCAGATGTAAACAAATCATTCAAGGACTTCCTGATCACAATTACATTGTTCTGAAATATCTGATATGCTTTCTCCATATGGTGAGTATATAGGAAAAAATTCCAAAAGTACAGCCAATCATTTCTTTACATCTAATAAAGCTTTGTGCTAAACAGTGGTCTCAGCCATACAGTCACCATGAAATTCTTTACATGTAAGAAGTAGTGAATTTAGTTGAAACTGTGCCTTCACTGGAATATTTAGAAGTCTGCTCTCCTCCGTTGCCCATTCACTAATGTATGTTTTAGTGACTTTTTTTTTCCTATTTTGGAATGAAAAATATTAAAAATAGTAGTTGAGTGTCTTTTAGTGCTGCAGAAAAAGTACATAACATGAATTTTTCCCCAAAGTGTAAATTCTGGCACCTAAAACTTTAAGTATATATTTGTGTCACTTTAGAAAATTATTTAAAAATATTGGTGACCTTTAGAAAAGTAATCAGCAAAATATTTTATATTTTACTTTAAAAACAACTTTTTCCTGTTTAAAATAGCCTTTAATTCTGTAACAGTACATTCTCAAACAAAAATACTTAATCATGCCCTTTTGCAGTATTTTTGTGTTCAGAATAAATGAATCATTTTTTAATTGTTATTCATATTCCAACAAATTTGGGACTTTGGGAAACCTCAATTATAGTCATTCTGCAGCCGTCCTGTTGTTGCTAGTTTATGTGCAGGAAAAGACAGTAATAAGAGTGTAATTTTTCCTCCCTCCCACCTTATTCAATGTATTACCATTTTCAAATTGCATTTTTCAAGCCCAGGTGCCTAAAATTGAGAATTCTGGTTTAGATGATGTCTAAATAAAAGGATCTAGCCTTCAGAAGACTTAAGAGCCCATCAAAGTAATGACAGATATGGAATGACATTTATTTTCCTCCTCATTAATTGTTATTGGGTTACAACTATGTTTGCCATATTCTAGCCATTAGCATATTTCAAAAAGAAGGATATTTAATACTTTTTTTTTGTACTGAAACATTACAGAAAGGCAAGATCAAAGGAAACACGTTGCTATGACCCTTGCACTGACAACACTGGCAAGGTTGTTGTAATACTCACACATTCATTTACTGCTCCTTAACTGAACTCTAATGCTGTTAAGAAAATCCTCGTGTCATTTGCTATTATTTTATCAACTGATATGTCTCCTCAGTATTATGAATTGTGTAAGTGACTTTATTCCAGTAATAGATGGACCATCTCAATGCATTTCTTAAGAGCTGAGCACTTGAGATGTTAATGAGGTGTGCAAAAGTACGACATAGTGTTTTCTGTAATTGGGCAACAGAAGATAGCATTATTTTTGAGTGTTCCTTGTTATATAAGGCTACATGTCAAATTGATGTTAGTGCTCAGCTCTGCAATTTTTGCTGATCCATAGCTTTTCATCTTTAATGTCTTGGGGAATATTTGCATGTGGAAAGGTCAAGGGAATGTGAAGCAATCTCGAAACTAGAGACTTCTATTCACTGCAGATTAGTGCACTGCACAAGCTGACACAATTCAAATGTAGACTGCTCTACCACTAATCCTAGTTCTTACCTGCAAGCATCAACCTTCTTACATACATGAGCCAATTTAATTCTTCCTGAGCTCAACCTTGAGTAGTGCTAGAGATACTTGTGGTAATTTCATGAAGTGGAATGAATTGTAATCACTGGATGTAGGTTTTGAGCACCATAAGTTTGATACAGGCTTGTGGAAGAAAGAAAAAAAACAGCAGTATTTTCTCTGCAGTCTCAGCCCCCCAGCTGAATGAAATGACTACTTCTACTCCAAGGGCACTACAGCAAGACAGTGCAACTTCTGCAGACGTAAAAGACTTGCATTTCAAAAATACGTCCATGTTTCTTAACCTTAAACTGGCAGTTATTTTGCCAGTAATGAGCCCAGGATGCTGTGAAAGGTCTGTGCTGTCTCCACTTTGCAGTGCATGTAGCTGCTAGAGAGGGATCTGAAGCTCCAACGTGGAGTGAGGTCTGCAGGCAAAATCAGACAGCTAGGAGTGAGGGGCAGAACAGCTCATATATTCCCCATTCTTTACTATATCTTTCTGTCCCTTTATTCATGCCTGATGAAGAATAATGATGGCTGACTTGCCTCAAGCAGCTATTGCAGAACTCTGCCAAATTCAAAATGTCAATATGGAGCAAATAGAAAAAAATAAACAAGGTTTTGTGGCGTGTGAGCTACATTTCAGAGCTGAAAATGAAGCACCATAGTTAAAGCCAAGTACAAGCTGAGGGGGAAAAAAAAAATCTCTGAATTGCTTTGAATTAGTGTTTTATCGCAATCACTTGTCCAATTTAAAAGTGTAATTAGCACCAGTAAAGCTTGGATATGGCTGGGGGATGGGTCACGTTGGGAAAGATTAGATGAGTGAGCGTGATGAAGCAGACACGAGCAGCTGGCATCTCTAGGAGGCAAGCAGAGAGCGGGGATTGAAACTTGCATTTCCAGTAAGTTTTGGGGGATATTTAATATCTAGCAGTTTTCTTCTGAAAATGTTTTTTGGGGTTCTGTTGATGATTGTGAGTACAAAGTTCAAAGGTGATGGTTTCCTTACAATTTTAAAATGTATAGCAATTGGATGTTTCAACCTTCTATCATTTCACTATTTAATTTCATTATGTAAAATAGTGGCAGACTAGTGTTACTCCTGCAGTGTTCATGAGGGTGCTGGAATGAATGTATGTGGAATTGAAATACTGATACAATTTTGCTGCAGGAAGCTGACTCTTGCATGATGGACATGTATTTTTACATTTGTTGATGTGGCACTAAATCTTCAGTGTTTACTTCCAATTATTAGCATAGGAATTTGCAGATTTTATCTGAAGGCTAGGAAAAAGATTTCTAGATGACTTATTTTCAATATAATCTGTTGCTACTTAATGATTTTTCTATACATGTCCTAGTTAAAGAGAACAACGAGCTGGAACTGTGTAGGTCTTTCTTGTCACACTTTTCTGTGATGTTCAGATGTCTTCAAAGATAAAATGTAGGTCCTTAGAGAATTGTCTTTTATTAGTTTCTGAAATTGATAGAGCAAGCGTATTCTTACTTGAAATGGTGACAGTAGTTTTGTGATGGAATCAAAGAAAGAGTCTAGGGGGTTAGTCCAAATGTTAAATATGTCATTTGTACTTAGAGCACATCTCTGGGCTATGAGTTACTTAGAAGACACCAAAAAGTGCTGATCTTGGATGGTCTTGTGTGGGAAGAAAATACTAATTGCTCATGATAGTGCTGTCAGTGAAGTAGATTTGATTGTGATGTTTGAGAAAGAAATCTGGCATTGGAGTACTGGAGGAGTTGAAGTAGCTTGAAGCCAGATTCCCTCAGGGAGGGATAAAGCCATTACCATTGTTATGAACAGGTGATGAGAAACTGGAAAGCAACTCTGCTGGAAGGGATCTGGGGATTCTGGTTGTCAGTGAGTTGAACATGAGTCAACAGCATGCCCTGGCAGCCAAAAAGGCCAACTACATCCTGTGGTGCACCAGGCACAGCACTACTAGCTGGTTAGGCTCTGCTCTGCTCTGCACTGTGTGCAGTTTTGGGCACAACAATACAAGAAGGGCTTCAAACTATTACAGGGTGTCCAAAGGAGGCCTACAAAGCTGGTGAAGGGTTTAGTGGACAGGATGTATGAGGACTGGCTGAGGCCCCTTGGTTTCTTCAGCCTTGAGAAGAGGAGGCTGAGGGGGGGCCTCATGGTGGCCTACAGCTTTCTCAGGAGAGGGGGAGTGGAGGGGCAGGCGCTGATCTTTTGGAATCATTAAATCATGGAATTGCTTAGGTTGAAAGGGACCTTAGAGATCTTCTAGTTCCAGCCACCATCATGGACAGGACCCCATCCAACCTGACCTTGAATGCCACTGTGGATGGGGCATCTATAACTTCTCTGGGCAACCTGTTGCAATGCCTCAACAGTCTCTGAGTAAAGAATTTCTTCCTAGCATGTAATCTAATTTTCCCCTCTTTTAGTTTAAAGCCATTCCTTCTCATCCTATAATTATTGAAACATGTGAAAATTTGGTCTCTCCTGCTTATAAGCTCCCTTCAAATATTTGAGGATTGCAGTGAAAACTCCCTGGAGCCTTCTCCAAGCTGAACAAACCCAGCTCCCTCAATCTTTCTTCATAGGAGAGATGCTCCAGACCTTCTCTCTGTTGACAGTGACAGGACTTGAGGGAAAGGCATGGAGATGCAACAGGAGATGGTCAGTTTGGAAATTAAGAAGAAGTTCACCAGGGAGTGATTGTCAATGGGACAGGCTCCTCAGGGCAGTGGTCATGGCCTCAGTCTGGCCAGAGTTCAAGAAGCATTTGGATTGTGTTCTCAGTATAGGGTTTGAATTTTGAGTGGTCCTACTCGCAGCTAGGAGCTGGAATTGATTATCCTTGTGAATCCTTTCCTATTCAGGATTTCTATCATTCTTTGACAGGGCTTCCTTGCTTGCAGTTCTCGTTGAGCCAGCAAGATCATTGTGGAGAGAGAGTAGGTTTCAATTGCAGGCTTTTTCTCTAATCTGCTGAGGAAAGGATTGCTCTGCAATTTGTAATAAAACAACATGCTATGTCTTCCTTGAATTGCTGAGTGTCAGGCTAATTGATGACTCACAGAAAAGACAGTGTAGCTCTGCCTCAGATATAATCACTGTTTCATTTTATGTTATGTATTTTCACTCTCAGGGGAGAGGCTGTGTCATGGGTATTTTTCTTGATTGTTTCAACATTGTCTGCCTCCTTGAAATGTTCATGAAGTTATATCGGACTGAAAGAGGTGGTTTCATCTTGGGATTAGAAATATTCTATGTGACAGCTGACTGAGAATTAACAAAAAACACCCCACAAAACTAGTTCTGTCAGCAAGTTGCAGTGCTGTTGCTTTGGACTGAAGAACTGGCATTTGAAGGAAACAGCAAATTTGAGCTGAATGTGTTTCAGCTAGCACTCTAAGACAGTGCCTGCACACAGCCAGCAGGATAGTGTGCCAGGAACACCCCTATAAACCAGGAAAAATACAACTGCAACAGGTGTAGCTCCTTCCACCTTTTTCTGTCCTCCAGTACTATACAAATAGCTTTTGTGCTATCAAAGGTACTTATCTATACCTAAAGTACCTCCCCGGGATATGCAGCAAATGTGTTTGTTTACATGCTATAAAAAACACCAATGTGAGGGGCTGCAGCAGAGCTCTCATGTTATTTTTGAGACTTCCTAGTGAAAGAACTGCCAAAAATAATTTGTTCTAAGTCATAGAGACTCTTTGGCACAACATTACCCTCTATGGATGTAGTCAGGATGGGTCACTTGACCTTAGAGCCAAAGCATCAGTGCTTAACCTTATCACATTTAGCTTTATTCAAAGACCATTTTCATCAGGATTACACTTATGTCTGTGTCTCCTTGTTAACCGAATGATTATCATCATCCTAATTATTTTTCCTTATCAGTTACTTTGGTAGCAGTTTAGTGTTTGCTACACTGCTGTAGTACAATGAACTCTTCTTTAAGCTGATCTCATCTGAAGCATGTTAAAGGAATGAAAATAGCTTGCTGGTTTGCTTTTTTTTTTTTCTGTATAGTTAAATAGTGTGTTGAGAGCATTATGTGAAGGTCAGCAAGCTCTATGCAGTTCACACTCAAGAGAGAATGATGTGGGTTTTGCATAAGGTCATGGAGCAGGCATTGCTGTTTAATCTGATGACCCTTATTCTCACGTTGTGAACTCAATCCTCTGAAAAGGTGATTATGGCAACAGTATGCCCTTATTAAAACTCCCTTCCTTTATCCAGCCCTGCTTCATGACCTTAGAATCAATTGAATCCTTTAATATTTGTAGCACTGTTGTATCTCTAATGGCCTAGGTGGTTAAGGCAAAGATTGGAAGGAAAAATAATACCTCTCACTGCAACAAAAAAATGTGGTTAGGAAGAAAATGCTAACCTTTTGGCACATATGTGTTTCTTCATGTCTCCTAAGGAAAAAAAAAGCATCCTGCATGCATGTCTGAAGGATTTTATATCCCTTCATGGCTGACCAAGCAGGCTTCTTGCTAGGTAGAACACCGAGGAGCCAGAGACAGAGGGAAAAGAAACCTGTGTTACTGAGTAGAGGGAAGTTTATGTATCTGCTCACATGATTGTAGCATTCCTTAGATTTTTTTTTTTCTCTTGTACCATCAGAGTTTCCATAATACTACTAAGCTGTCTTTTCAGGAGACCCTATGGAAAAGCCAGAAATGGAGAGATGCTGAGAAGCACAGGTTTTTGGTTTCCTGTTCCACTTGAAATAGTAGTACACAGGAATATTTAACTGATACTTCCCCATTCTATTCCAGGTTGACAACTTCAGAGCAACCTGTACGTCACAGTTTAGACAATGTTACAGTTACAGACCATATTCTTATTGCTGATGAAAAACTGCAGCTATCAGTCTGGGAAGGAGTGGCTGAACTAATAATGTCATAGAATCATGGAGTAACTTAGACTTTAGAGGAGAGGACCCTAAAGATCATCTAGTTGCAACTCTCCTGCTATGGGCGACTTTGCCAGCCTGCAATTCAGGCTGCCAGGACCCATCCAATCTGTCCTTGAATGCCTTCAGAGATGGGGCATCCACAGCCTGTCTGGGCAACCTGTTCAAGCACCTCACCACCACCACTCTGAATAAAAAATTTCTTCCTAACATCTAACCTAAATTTCCCCTCTTTTAGTTTTAAGTAATGCCCCTTTGTCCTACCACTATCAGATCCTGGAAAAAGTTGTTTCCCTTCCTTCTTGTAATTTCCCTTTAAGTACTGGAAGGCCACAGGAGGGTCTCACTGGAATCTTCTCTTCTCCAACTTAAAAAAGCCCAGTTCCCTCAGCCTTTCTTCATAGAAGAGGTGCTCCAGATTTTGTTCATCTTCATGGCTTTCCTCTGGGTCTGCTCCAACAGCTCTGCATCTTTACTGGGAACAGCAGACTTGGATACAGTACTCCAGATGGGGCTGCACAAGAGCAGAGGGAGGGTGGCAATCCCCTCTCTCTCCCTGTTGTTCACCCCTCTCTTTGATGCAGCCCAGGATACTGTTAGCTTTCTGGGCTGCAAGCACACACTGCTGGCTCTTGTCCAGCTTTTCATCCATCAGGACCCATCAAAAAAGACAGAGAGCTGTTGGAGAGGGTCCAGATGAGAGCCACGAAGATGATGAGGGACTGGAGCACCTCCCCTGCGAAGACAGGCTGAGGGAGCTGAGCTTGTTCAGCTTGGAGAAAAGAAGACTGCAGGGTGACCTCATTGCAGCCTTTCAGTACCTAAAGGGAGCCTACAAACAGGAGGGAATCAACTCTTTGAAAGGGTTGATAACAGCAGCACAAGGGGAAATGGTTTTAAGTTGAGGGAGGGAAGACTTGGGTTGGATGTCAGGGGGAAGTTCTTTACAGAGAGAGTGGTGAGGTGCTGGAACAGGCTGCCCAGAGAGGTTGTGGATGCCCCGTCCCTGGAGGTGTTCAAGGCCAGGTTGGATGGGGCCCTGGGCAGCCTGGTCTAGTATTAAATGGGGAGGTTGGTGGCCCTGCATGTGGCAGGGAGTTGGAGATTCATGTTGAGGTCCTGTCCAACCCTGGCCATTCTGTGATTCTGTGTGGCACCCAAGCTTTCTCTGCAGGGCTGCTTGCTAGGAGTCCTCTCAGTCTGTACCTATATCTGGGATTGCCTTGATCCAAGTGCAACACCTTGCAATTGGCCTTGTTAAATCTTAATAGATTCTTGTGCCTGCTTTCTGAACATGTCCAGCTCCCTTTGGGTGATATCCCTCCCTTTCATTGTGTCATTGTGTCAACTGTATTACTCAGCTTGGTGTCATCAGCAAATTTGCAGAGGGTACCCTTAATCCCACTGTCTGTGTCATTGATAAAGATGCTGAAGGGCACTTGTCCCAAGACAGATCCCTGGAGGACACCACTCATGACTGGCTTCTGCCTAGGTACAGAGCCATTGACAACAACCTTCTGGCTATGACCACTCAACCAATTCTTATCCACCTAATAATCAAGGAGGATGTCAGGAGGAATGTCAGGAAGAATAAAAGCACATTCAAATTGCTGACTGTTTGCAGTAACAGGGAACTTATCACCCAGATCGTAGATACCAACCACGCAGTGCAGGAGAGGCAAAACATGCACAAATGCCCTGGCAACTTTATACAGAAAATAAAATTATTTCTGCTGCCCACTTTAGAGTTCAAGTCTACAGATATGTTTAGGGCACATCACCTAGATAGAGAGCAGAGTTCAGTGCTGCATGTCTTCTCTACAATCCATTTTCACCTCCATTGCATCAGGGAAACTAGGGAGATGTGGAAGTACTTAGAAGTGAAAGTCATGCATCAGTGGGAAAAAAAATAAAATATTTCTAAATCCTTGCAAACAGTTTCAGAATTCCGGAGTTTTATTCTGTAAAGGACATAGCACAGGCAGATGGAGTAGCTGTTTCTGCCATCCTTCCCTGCCCTCTAGCAGAAATAACAACATATTCCATATAGAAAACCCAACACAATTAATTTTCCTAGCAAAAGGAATCAGTGCAGGCTTTTTGCTTGACTTACTGACATCTTTTCTTGTACTTAAGGGATACAGACCCTGGTGGCCCCATTACCTCTCAGCTGCATGGTCAGTCCTCAGGCAGTTAGGAAGCCAGTGATGTACCTGTCGTTAGCATCTATGTTCATCGTTGGCTCATTCTTGATATGGTAGGCTCTTTTGTCTCTCAGTCACGGGGTGTGTGCCTGCAATGTACTAGTTTATGTTTTTATTTTTCAGGTTTCACAGGAGAGCATATATAATAGAATGACAGCATCCAGCTTGGCCTGTGTCTTTGGCTTGAATTTGATCTGGCCATCTAAAGGAACAGCCTCTCTGAGTGCTCTGGTGCCTCTGAATCTCTTCACTGAACTACTAATAGATTTCTACATGAATATATTCAACTCCCGAACAGTGCCTGGTGAGATCTTACCTTAATGCTCCCAGAAAGGGAGGTGAAGTTTGTCTGCCTGAAGGGAAGGTCTGAGCATCTCAACTGCCAGAGCAGTTCCTGCAAAAGGCATTTTCAGTTCTATACCTCTCCAAGTATCTTCGGATAGTGAGGGAAGTACTCTATTGCAGATATTCTCCTCTCATAAGAGAACCATGTACAGGTTAAATATGAGAAGTTACAGTGAAACTCCTTATTCAACTTCAGCAGTTCTGATACATTAAAACAAACAAACAAACAAACAAACCAATTGTGACAGTAGGTGATTCTGTTATTTGTGTAAGGATCTGAACACCTCACTATATGGCATTATTTACTGGGATCATGCGGAACTTCATTCTGGACCACTCCTGTCTGTACAGTTTTCTATTATTAATATTATTATTTGAATACAAGTTTGTTAGAGATTTCTGTAATAACTTAATAAAGATGGAATTGATTTTTAAGATACCAAAATTTCTAGAACTACTTTTCTCTATATTTAAGTGTCTTGTTTTTCGCAGGAATACTCCCAATGTTTGGGCTGCTTGCTTCTGCAGTTTAAGTTAATGGAAATTTGTTCTTCACATTGATTTCTCTACAAAGCAATAACAACAGCAACTTGGGTAACATACCTAATGCCAATTGAATGCCTTTAAAGTCTGTTCTTAGTCTCAGTGTGAATAATTAGCTAACAAAAAGGCAGTGTTTCCTTTCTAACAGTGCCATTAATATTGCTTGTATTTTATGAACTCTAAAACACTACTCTTTCATTGTTGGTTAGTAGTGGATTGGTGTAATGAAGTTATCATCATATTTGCCTGCAAAGCAAAAGCAAATTAACCAATGGTATGACAAAGGCAAGCAGTATTTTCCCTAAGGTTCAGATCTTCCTACTTCTGTATAGATCTACAGAAATAGTGGGACTTCAATAAAACTAATCATCTCTGGAGAACAATTTAGCCATCCCCTTCTCTGCAAACACAAAGCCTGTCTTTATCCTGAAGGTTCTAGTTGCTAGCTGAGGGTTTGGCCATCCTCTCAACCGTTACGAGTTGCCTCCCCGTGTAGCAGATGCAACAAGACCTTATTACACTGGGTGAAGATTATTTGTTCTTGTTAGAAATTTGGGGAAATAACCAAGCATCCAGAAGGCTGTGGCATGCTGGATCTGCCAGGCCTTCTTCTGTTCAGTGGGTGTCATCTATAGCATTAGACAATTATTAAAAACTGAAAAATACACAGGCTTTAGAACAAGATGTGAGGGCTAAATTTCACATCGCATCTGTGTATTTTCCCATGTCCTCAAGTGCTCTCAAAGGCAATTTTTGGGGGTTTTGAATATCTGTGAGTAATAACCACGCATGACTCTACTTAAATCTAAAATACTGCGCCATACAAGAATAATTAACATGTATTCATGTTTGTTGCACTTCAGCCAGAGAATATTGCAAAGGACAGAACTACCTTGAGTTTTGTATCACAACTAATCTCTGTTTTATACCTGAGTTATCAGTGACAGCATCATAGCTTGTATTATGGAAAAGAGACACAGTTCTGCTTGGAGCTGTACAATGGCTTGGCAGCACAGCTCTGTGAACAAGCAGTGTGTTCTTACCGAGGAGGAATTTGGCCTTGAACCAGTGACTGAGGCCTAGAATCAACAAAACTTCAGCATTTTGCCACTTTCTGACCTTGGTAAAAATACATATGCGCAACACATTGTTTTGCTGTTTGTAAAAGGAGGTAAAACTTGGCATTAGAAAAGTGCTTTGGGATGAAATGCTGATAAACACCATAAAATGGTTATTTCCCATGTTCTCTTTCAAAATTCCAGCAATATCAAATGTCATTTTGAATGTAGCAGTCTTCATGTTATGCTGCGTTACATGAATGTATGTACTGGATAGTTTTAACACACCCTGTGGTATGAAATCCTGAGGTCCTGGAAGCCAGCTTTGCTTGGTGGGAAAGATGGGTGCACCTCATAGACATAATTCTCCAATTTACCCTAGGTAGGGAAAGAGCAGAGGCTGTGAGCAGTGAACATCCCTTCAGAAAATCTGCCTGCCTGCAGACATGCTAAGTGATAGCACCAGAGTCTCCTCCTGGGTATTGGCCCCACACGTGCCAAACTGTCAGTCTTTCTTTGGGCAGTTTGTAAACCACCATTTCCTAGCGATTTGTGGTTCCTCTCATTTACCAAACAAATAGCAAAGCCGCGATTTCTCATTTTAAAGTTCCTTCTTTCTTTAAAGAAGGGATAACATCTGTTATCCCTTGGTGTAGGTAACTTGATGCTGCTCAGGAAAAATAGAGGCCATAGCACTGGTGGAGCAAAGTAGAGCCAGGGGACTGGGTGCCCCTGCTTCACATCACCTTCTTGCCTCCCTGGCAGGCAGCAGTGAGAAGCAATGAGTATGGCAGTGGCTTCCACCCTGCCAGCTTGTCCATCCAGAGGAGGAACTTTTCCAAATCAAGTACCAAACCCTCCCAATGGGGCCCCAACTCCGTCCCTCCAAGCCCAAAGGAAATGGCAATATCCTTCGTCTGCTGCAGAAGCCCCCAGTCTCTGTCCTGAGAGCCAGATATAACTACAACATTAAATCAGCTCTCATGAATTATTCAGCAGGGTTTGGAGTGAAATTCATGTTAGAGAAATATATGTTTCAAATTTCCTGACTCTAAGAGGAGTCCTGGAGGTGTCCCCTGCAGTTACTTTGATAACAGTTTCTCTTTACAAATGATAATTGCGCGATTCGAGGTTTTGTACTGCGTGGCCTTCTGAACTCTTCTCTCATATCAAAGAACAATTTTCAGATCATTTCCATAGCAAAAAGGAAGTGATTATGGAGATAATCTGTTGGAAACACACACGCTAGATTTCAGCTTAAAACAATAAAATGCAGTCATGGAATGAGAAATCAAGTGTTACCTAGCTGACAATATACAGAAAATAAATTGCCGAAGCATTTTAGTTTAGTGAGCTGTTAGGAGCTGAAAATTGGTCCCAAGATTAGTCTGATTATCATGGTGCCTTTAGCAATGAGCACTGAAGGGGGAAGGGTGTACTTTTCTATCCTGGATCTATAAAGAAGTGTAGCAAGATTGAACAATATGTCGTTAACCAGGGGTGTCCTTAGGTTCTTACAAAAAACTTCTGTACATAAATATCCCTGACATGTGTGCAAATGATCTGCAAGTGCACACTGCACTCTGTGAGCATCATAGAACCTCTCGGAGCCTTGCAACCATGAACATACTCATCCAGTCATGATGATACTGATAATAGACAAGCCCAATATTTTGTTAATATCAAATCTGTGCTTAATTAAGAGAGACAGTTGAATTTACAGTGGGATTGAAGGTGTAATCATCCCCTTTTATTGCCTGAATAGTTTGTCTTCATTACCCTGGCAGATGTGTCACTTTTCAAATGGCAACAGGGGTGCTGGAGGGAGAAATCAGAGTTACCTGTGATTTCTTAAATCAGAAGCTCATGTTCAGTGGAAGATCTACAGGAAGCTCACATTCCTGTCCTTGCTCTATTCATTTCCAAATAGTTTCACCCACAAAACAGAAGCCAGAAGACGATGCATCTGGCTTTATGTAGGTGCATCTCCACTGAAGATGTGTAACAGTCACATGTGTCCAATTAAATGTGAGGCTGGCATACGAAAGTTGGCATTCTGCCTTTCCCACTGGAGTAATACTCACTGTCACCATCAGAGGGGTTTGATTTCTGTCTTTATCTGTGCACACACAGGAAAACTGCTTCAGTTTATTGCACCTAATTTATCAAAACATTCCAGTGTCTTTCAGCATCATATAAGAGTCGGGGATCTAAAACTGGGGTGCCACAAATGTTCCCTTCTTGCTCTCAAACTGGAAAGCCTGTGAAAGCACTCCACTCACCAAGGAGATTTCTTAGGTCTTTGGTGGCTTCAACAACGAATTGTCCTGGAGACAAAGAACTAAACTTCCAAATACAACCAGAGACTATAACCTTTTCCATAATGGTCCTGTTGGTATTTCCCAGAATTGTCACATTGTGGAAAGAGTCGTGGTTTGCCTCTCAGAGGTGGAGATGCACAAACCCATGGTGGAAATGGCACGTAAGTTCTCCTACCTCCTACTCCTAACTGGGATCTGTTGTCTTTAGCATTGGGAAAGCCACGGTAATTGCACATAGAATTGCCCAGACTCCTACCCACTCCAGTTCCTCTCCAGAACAACTGGCAGAAGTTCTGTCACAAAAATAATGAACTGATGGAAAAAAAATAAAAAATGCCAACTCAACAAAGATAAAACCAACTCAACAGAAAGAAAGGCAGTTTTTCTTCCAAGGCTTACTTTTTGTGCATTGCTACTTTCCATCACCATCTCTTTTAGGATAGCATCACTTGGCTGTGCACAGTGTTGCAGTCACTGTTCAGAAGCAAGGAGGGAGCTCTCTGGAGCCAGGAGAGATGGCACACACAGTTGAGTGAGCATTAAAGCTAGGTACTTTTGTGGTCCTGATTTCTCCATGGTGTAATTACCTTATGGAAGCTGCCTTAATGACTGTTGGTCTGCCTGCTGTCCTCACAGCATGAGTCACAGGGTGAGGATTTGTGCCTACAGTTTGCAGTGCCTAGGTCTGCTACCTGACCTGAATGCTTAGGTGGCAAAGCTGCTTCTTCTGCCAAAGGGAAGTGAACCCCTCAGAAACCGAGCCCCATGTGCCAGCCAGTTTGTTTTATTCTGCTTCAGGCCCCAAACTGACACATTTTAAGCTACTGTTAGCCCAAACACCAACATCAACCTTCTCAAACCCAATTAGAAATCAGGATTTCTGGTTTTTCTTTCTATTACATGGACTGGGCTCTCCGGTGATGATTTTTTCACTTCCCCGTTTAATCACCCAAGAAAGCACTTTACAGCCCATAACTCTTCTGCCATGAAAATTATCCACTTAATTAATGAGACAGTAAAAAGCGATTGTAAAACACAGCAAACTGTATCATCTTTAATTTCTGAACTGAATTTCTGATACACTCATATAAGAGTCTTTAGCGGGTGGGTGTTTGTCACTTCACCTGATCCAGAAATATAGAAATAATACCATTAATTAATGTTCTATTTAAAGAGCTTCCAAAGATCCCACATTCTCTTTAACTTCACCTGCCAAAGTTGTCTTCTTTTTTGTAATATTTTTCCCATTCCTTGAAGCTGCATCCGTCTCCTTATTCCCATTTCTGTCCATCATCAGTCTGTGGAAGCAGTCTACGTATATTGGATGTCATTCTTTACCCCCATGTATGTGGTCTTTGTTGTGTTTTTGTGAACACAAAAGCCATCTGGGGAATAGTTAGAGTCATCTGTCTCAGTACAGTAGCTCCCCCAGCTAACTGGGATATCAAACAGCACCAGCCAGCACCCCCAAGAAGCCTTCACGTGGTCTCTTCTACACAAAGTGCTTGATTGCTGCC